TAGTAATATTTAAGAGTTTTTTATATTATGAATTTCTTACATAATCATAAGCAAAAAACCAATATGAAAAGAAATCATTATATTCGAAATTATATTTTCTATAGGAATGAATGCTTCATTCTATTTCATTTGATACATTTTTTTTTTCTTAACGAAAACTACTGGATTGTAAGTTGTCAATCACGTTAATTCGGAATATGAGCATAAGAAGTCTTCTTACGTTAGTTTTCTAGATTAATAAACTTTTTTTAAAATCTTTTGTTTTGGTCCGTCCACGTTATGAAGCATATCCAATTGCTTATAAAACAATAATTTTCGTCTTACATCAATTTGTTTGGAGAAAAAGATAATCATTTACATTCACGTAGTACATACATACTAACATTTCAATGTGCTACCTTGTGGTATCGAGTACTGTCTAGCGGTAGATTCAATATCCTGATATCTTCTTTACGACTGATATTATCTGTAGCTCTGGATAGAAGACTGGCTTGACGCAAAGTTCTTGCACTCAGTTGCTGGAATCCTTCATGCATACTAGCTGATCACAAGAGCAGGTGCATGTCACAACGCAGACAGCCTGCTATTAGACAAGCGATCCGAGATAAATAGCCGTTAGTAACTTGTCCAAAATCATTCCATGGCTGCTGGCACTGAAATTTTACATAATATCCTGTAGATATATGTTGAATAACGTCGCCGTTCAGCCATGGCGGCTACATTTCAATGTAAAAGAATAAAAAGTTCATATTATTTTATTTAAAGTCAATTTATGCATAGTGAAAAAAAGATTTTGTAGAAAAGTTTATTAGTCTGATTAAATTAAAAACAATCGATTAGTTAAAATAACTTTCTCATTAGACATATAATAGTACAGTTAACTGCCGGAAATGTTCGTCGCAGCTAAAAAATTGTCGCGATGATGATCTTTATTAACAGCTATGATTAATATACGAAATATTTATTGAAAATCATATTCTATCTAAATACTTTCATACAGAATAGATAATCATCATATAAATAAACGTTTTTGCATTTGATATTATTATTTTAGCATGTAATTCACCATTTACAATTGTAAGTCCAACATCATTTTATCCATATTGTTATCAAATGAATCAACAATCATCACTTGTTACTCAATTAAATGCTATACAAGATTGTAGTGATAAATCAGCACAACTTGTTTGGTTTCAATCTATTGATGAAATACAACAACAATTAATTCCAGCATTATTTGTTCGAGGTTTAACTCGAGGTTTGTTTGGTTTTTTTTGCATTAATGTTGAATTAACAAAAAAAAACAACTTCTATATGTTCGTTTTTTTAGATTTTTGGACAAGTGGAATATTTAATTCAATACTAAATCGATGGCAATGGTTATTATCAAATAATAATACTCGTATTGATATTGATTCATCAATTTTAACACAATTTGGAATAAATCCCTTAGGTAAAAAATTTTTTAAAAAATTCAAAATATAATTTTTTTTTTCTTATTTAGGTGGTCAATCTCTTCATTATTCATTTGCAGAATTATCTAATCGACGTTTGATATCAAGTTCATCATCAGAAACTTATTCAACACTTTGTAAAATATCTGCAACACGTTTTTTATTAAATAATCAAACACGTTCAATTGATTTGACATCACAACAATATGGTTTTCAAAATCAGTTAAGAAACATTTTCAAAATTCATCTTCTTAATGTTTTTTCAAAATAATTTTATTTAGAACTCAAGTTATTTTTTATAAGTTTAATTATACAATTTTTTCAACAATTCCAACAAATACTCTTATACAACAGCCAACAGCTGCACAATATTCAACTATGTGTGGTGCTATGGGTAGTCCATCGACTCCTGTTGATCCATATATCATTGATATTTGTGGTTATTTTCCTTCAATAAATGATGGAAATGTTCAATTATTAATGCAAACAATTTCTTCATATTATACATCTCATCGAATAACAATTTTATCAACTCGTATGTTAGAAAAAAAGAAAGATAAATTTTTCACTTTGAAAATTTAATTCTTTTATAGAAATTTATACTGCAATACCATTAAATGTTGAACATTATGTAACAATATCTGGCGATTTAATGACTCGAATACGTTTTATAATAACAAGTCCGTCATCGATTATTCTCGGATCAAATATTGAACCATTAGCATCAATTAATGATATACTTAATACAATAAATTATCGAATTTATCAACAATGTATACCTTATATATCTTTAAATATTCTTTTACCATTAAAATTATGTATTCCATTTAATGAAATTTCATTATGGACAAATTTAATTGCAAATGCAGTTTCAGCAGCGACAGGTAAATTTTTTACTTTTTTTTTGGTTTAATGGTACTACTTCCTCTTCTGTTCGATCGTTTCTGATTCTCGAAGAGGGTAAAACTAATCCGTCTGAAATTTTTTCTACAGATACAATTTCTAAAATAAGGAGACACATGTTCGAGAAACAATACTTTAAGTATGACTTTTCTGGAGAAATCTCTAGTTTTCCAAAGGACCATGTATGGCTAACTTTGTCTGATCAAACGGGAAAATTACCTCTGAGACATAGTCTAAGATATTTCCAAAAATAAAAAATCTTCAGTCCGATCGAACAAAATTAGTGGAAGGTCATCAGCAACCCAGGGTTTTCCCGAGAAATCCTGTTTAAAATTTTTTTTCTCGAACATTTGTCTCCTCATTTCAGATGCTCTACCTTTTCTAAAACTTTCAGGCATGTCAGCTGTATCGTCTTCGATAATCAGAAATAGTTGAAAAAGAGGGAGAAATACCCTGAAATTATAATAATTAATCTTTTTCTTTTTCGAAGGCCAATTAAGTGTAACTGTGATGCTTAAAGGTGTTCGACAAGGTGTTACATCAACAGGGTAAATTTTTTTTTTGTTGTATTTTTCAACTAAATTTGCATATGATTTTCTATCTGAATTAGACAACCAGCCAATATTGCATATTTTTTAATAACCATTAATGGTATGACATATAATCAAACAATCGATAGTAATTTAGCATCAAATCCAATATTGATTTCAACAATAACACAAACTAATAATCAATTATTATGTTCAAATCAAACACAAATAGTTCCAATACAATATAGTATTCAAAATTTTTATGTTCCATGTCCTATACCACAAATGTAAGTTATGATAAGCTTTTTATTGAATATATACAAGTATTGGATAATAATGATTAATTTTCAATTATTATGAGAAAGATGTACTCTCTTCCCCTGAGTCTTTACGGTCTTCGAGCATGTTCAGTAAGAGATTTGCAATGTTGATGTAAATACTGAAATATTGGCAGTGAGTGACCAACGCCATATCCACTGAAACACTGACTCAGTGATCAGTAAACTGAATCTGCACATTTCTATATCCAGTAAGTCATCTACCAAAAAATACAACTGTATAACTCTATTATGGCTAAGACAAATTAAGTAAATCTCTTTGTAGTGATAGAGAATGTTTTCAAGTTTTTATGCTTAAAGTTTAAATTCATACATGTTCCCGAAAACTTGAGCTTTCAGACCTAATACAAACAAGATTTTTTGCATCGTCATTTCTATCGTTTTTTTTTGTTATTCTAAACTTTTTATCATTCAGATTTTCTTCTTTTACTTTCTAAATTTTTGTATGACATTTTTGAAAATTCTAAAGTAAATCATACATTTCTCCAAAGCAGTTCGTCCCTTACTTGTCAAAAAACTTTGATAATAAGTATACTAAGCAAATTGTCACAATACTAGAATTTCCACGGTTACTAAACTCGAGACTAATTATCTCTAAATTTCCAAAAAAAGTATCACATAAATATTTACGTATTTTTTGTCCGAAATTTATAAACAGCTACGTATTAATCAATGTTCTTAATTAACAAATGCAATACCTTTAATCTTTTTCTTTCATGTTGTACCATTATTTATATAAAAAAATTTTAATTTTTTTCTTCATTTATTTTTTGTATTTAGACTTCAAAGACAATTAAATAATGCATTACAACGAGCTGGAATTTACACTATTAATATGACAATATTCGGTGTTGAAGAAGCAGTTGATAATCTTGGGTAAAATTTATTGTAATTATTTTACTTAAATGAATGATTTTGTTTTAGACAAATTTATCGATTACCAAATATATATATTCAACATCAAAATGGAACATGGCTTGATAGTCCATTACAATTAAATAATCAATTATATCAAATCTTAATATCTGTTCAAATGCAACAATTAACAACTCGTGTTTATATTTTATCAAAAGCTTATTCATATTTTTATTTAAATTCATTAACAACAAATGATCGAGATTTTCTACAAAGATTAATTTTAACATTATATAATCAACAAAGTAATGAAAAAGAATAAAGTTTAATCATTTCAATTATAAATTTATTTATTTTTTCTATTTTAGGTTCTATAACAAGTAATAATGTAAAAATTTTATTGGAAGATCCATATTTAAATATAAGTTCATTAATAACAATTCAACGAGTTTATGCATTTATATTTTATAATGATCAAGAACTTGATGGAAGATATTTATCATCATTAGTTTTATCACCATCACAATTTATGAGTCCTTTTTATATACAAACTCCATTGACTTATGTATCAAATTTAATACCAGCTAATGTTGTTAAACAACGTGATATACAAAAAATAACATTTACTGGAAAAATTGGTCAAACATTAGCACAAACAGCATTAACTGATTATTGGCAAAATCCAATTAGACAAGGATTAACTAATACAAATGTTTATATTATACAATTACAACAATATCTTATCTATTCAATAAAGTAATAGAACAAAAAATTGTTTTTATTTATTTATTCGAATTTCTTTTTTTTTTTGTTTTTAAGTCAATATTATACAACAATAACTTATATAGTAATAACATCAGATGGTTATACTATTCCAAGTGCATGTTTTAATCCAAGTTTACTTCAACCATTAAATGGTTTATGTGATGCACCGAATAATTATGTTGCACAAGTACCTTTTAGTTATACACCATCGTTTATTGATCTAAGAGGAAATTATTTAAAAGCTGATCTTGATCAAGATAATTTTCAAACATTAATTACATCTGCATTACAAAGAACAGGAATTAGTAGTACAGGTAAATTAAGAAAATAAAATTAAAGTTTTTAAAACAAATGTATAAATAAAATATAATTGTCGATAATTGATTTTATGTATTGGAAGTTAAGAATGTTGAATATATTTGTATCAAATTAAACGTTTCTCACCAGCAAACTAACAACTTTAAAATATGAACTGTTGATGACTTGCACGTGCTGAGATATCCGAATTGTAAGGTATTCACAATATATGTAATGTAGAGCTCACCTGGTTTGGAAACGATCCATAAGGTAACAGCTAATTATGAATTAGTTAATATTATCTGAGAAGTGCGGAAAGTGTGTTAGTATCAGAATCCGGATCGGGTATCAAATTCGGACTAACAAAATTTCATTGAAATTAGAAGTATAGTTTGAATCCGCATTCAGAAATGTTGGATCCAATGAACTCTAATCTAATGTGCCAATAATTTAAATAAAATGTTTTTGTTTGGTAGTTGAAACTACTATAACTTAACGAGCTCTATCCAATCATGACAAAAAGAGAAAGATACATCCTGCTGAAATTTTGAATTTTTTGGCGCATCACCTATACCATCAATATCTTAGGATTCGAATATCCAACTTTGTGCATGTCACAAACAGTTCATATGTTGAATTTCTTAGTTTGTCAGTGAGCTCTTTTATTTGATACAAAAATTTCAATATTCTTAAGTTCAAATACTCATCGTTTGATTGTTAGTTTAGATATTCTATGTTTTTTTTTGCTAATTTAGTTTCATCAATATTAATTGAACCACGTTTTGGTTTTGATATGTCATTAGTAACAAGAGTTTATTATATGGTTGTACCTAATCAAATCATTACACAAGAACAAATACAAGCTCAATTAAACGTATATTCTTTCTTGTACTATTTATTGTAATACATTTTCTTTAATAGTCTATCTTTTCAACAATGCAACCAATTAAATATGATCTATATTCAAGTGGACAATTATCTATTGCACGTAGTGATGCTCATCAATATATAAGTAATGTTTCATTACCATTAACAACTTTAATTCGTCAAGATATTGAAAATTATTTAACATCATTTAATCGACGTATGTAAACATTTATTTCTATTGTTCATTTATTTTATTTCTTTTCTTCTTTTTTTTTAGAATATGGAATTGCAAAAATTGTTTATGCGGAATCTCTCAATGCTAATCAAACTCGTTTTTATCTTGCGGTAAAAAAAAATTCAAAAAATTTTCTTGATTAAAAATTTCATTTGTTTTTTGAAGTTTCTCAATGGTACACAAGTATTAACTCGATGTGATTTTTTCTTATATTATCCCGGTGTAACAAATATTGCCAATGGAACAGGTGGATTTTATAGTATATATCTTGAACGAAATGTTTTTGTTGGTCAACCCAATGCACTTGCTAATGGTCTAGCACAAATTTGGACGAATCAAAATTTAGGTGTTCCAGCAGGAGTTTTATTTGTTCAATTACAAAATCAAATCCAATATATTTGTTCTGGGGGGTAAGAAAAAAACAGATTTTTATAAATAAAAAAAAAAATAAAATCAATTTTTTCGTTCTTAGACGAAAATCAGTAAGAGTTGATTATATTGTTCAAAGTCTATCAACAAATGTTGTTGTGAATAATTTAACTCCACCACCAAATTCTGCATTTGAACAACTTTATGGACAATATGTTAATGTATAGTTTTAAAAAACAAATAATTTTTAATGAAATTTTTATTCTTTTTTTTTTATAGACAAGTCGTTGTATCTCTTATCAAGCACATTGGTTATATTTAATTGAACCACGTCCATCAAATGATTTAATTCGTTCTGCATTAGAAAATGCATGGCGTCAATCAAATAGTAAATTCATTTGTTTGATATTTTTTTAGTCTAATTTTTATTAACATTTTCATTTATCTAGATAATTTACAAATTAATATTTCACCGGAATTTTATTTTGATTCATCATATTTAACTATTAATAAGTAACTATGATTTTTTTTAATTCAATTTTTAAGAAATTTTTTATTTTAGTCAAACATTAACACGTTTAACTTATACAATTAATTTAAATGGTTCCGATTTGTCTTCATTAATGGTTACACAACCATTACTAAATTCGATTTTATTATCAAATATTTATACAGGTATTCCATATAAGAAATTTTCTATTTATGTTGATGGAAATAAAATAAATTTAACAAGTCCAACAACATTATCAATGATAAATCAAGCATTAAGAACAAGTTGGTCATTAGCTAATAGTAATCTATTTTCAGCAAATGATGTTTCTATTCCATCAATTAATTCGGCTTTATTAAAGTAAATATATACAAAATTTTAGAAAAACAAAACAATCTAAATAGTTCTCTATTAGTTTAAATGATTGAGAGGAGGCTATTTTGTACTAAAGTTTTATCCAATTGAAATTTATCTATAATAATTGATTAAAATGATCAACTTCAATTGTAGAAGTTCAATTACTCTCATTTGAGATCTTTAATAGGCATCTTGTTTATAGAACTAGTTAATTTAAATCAAAGCTTTTTCCTGATCATGAAGGACAATACAAACGTGTGAGTTTAGGAAAAATAAATTGACCTTTTTATTCTTAACAATTCTATAGAAATCAACGAGTCTGCAATACTCTAAAGAGTTCTGTGAAATTTTCGACGAAAAAATATGTAATTTAAGAAGCATATTTTCTTGAGTTCTACTCTCTGATTTTACACAATTTTATAAGTCATCATCGTTATGTTGTTGAACAATATTTCAAAATAGATCAAACACTTGACTCTATTATATTTTTCCAAATATTCTAAGTTTCTGTAACTTCATCTTCAATGATTATTGTTAAGAAAATATTTTAACAATATAGAGAAATGCTTTCTAGAAGAGTATATAAGTTGAACAGTTTCTCTCAGTCTAAAACTTTGTTTTTCATAGTCATTTCCTCCTTTCGAAAAATATGCATAAACTAACAGAATATTCACTTGATATGGTTTTACTCAATGCCATACAGTACTGGTCAAAAGTATAAGACTAACGTATTTTTGATCTTTTTTTCTACGATACATCAAGCATTTAATTCAAATCCAAGTTGTGTTTGAATAGCCAATCAAATTCTCTATTAAAGTTTCATAGATGAACCATATGAGGAAGAATATGTGAAAACTAGTTTTTAAGAGTATCATCTTAAAGAGCTGAGAATTCTAAATGAAATGAAGAGTTGCTGTGTTTCCTACGACCTTCTCTTAAAAAGTTATTACCATAAAAAAAACAAAAATAAAAAAAACGCATTTTTTAGCAATGCTAGGATAAATTTCGTTTTTTTTTAATTTTTTTGTGATGGCTATAACTTTTTAAGGAAAGATTGTAGGAAACGCAACAACTCCTCATTTTGTTCAAGATTTTGTGTTCTTTAATATGGTGCTCTTACAAATTGATTTTCACAGTCTTTTCAGTCCTAAAAAGTACCGTATTTATTTTTTTGAAAACCTTTCTCTTAAAGTCTACCTATGAAATTTTGATAGAGAACTTGTTCTTGGATTTAAATTAAGTGTTCTATATTATAGAAAAAAAAATACCGAAGTTTTATATATTTAATCAGCAGTATAAATAACTATTATTGATCATTTATATAAACCATGTGAATTACAAAGTGAAGATGTGATGATTGAAACTCTGAAGAACACGCAAATTATTTGAATCATTAATGAATTATTCATATATTTTTTTTTGTCGCACAGATTTTTGAGACATGTTATGCATATATAAAATGATTTTGATACATTTAGTAATGGACAAACTAAAATTGATTATATGATTGGTTTAAATTCGGGTGATATTGGTGATTATTCTCAACCATCAGAAAGATCTTATACACAAATATTCAATCAAACGGGTTTACAAACATTAGTTTATACACGTTATATACCAGGATATAATAATCTAATGATAACAAATAATAATCAAACATCTAATTTACCATTTTATTATCGATTTGGACCAATTGATGGGGTAAAAAATTGATCAAAATATAATTGATATTCAAAATTGGTTTTTTCTTTTAATACATTCTTTTAGCTTGACTGGTGGATTATTCTAATTATAGTTATTGGTATATTAACGATTTGGTTAATAATCTGTTTAATTTGTTATATATGTTGTCGACGACGGTAAGATTTAATTTTCTTTCTAATCTTAAACGCTTATTAATTAACACAATAGCTTATGCTTATATGAAAACAGATCAAGAAATTCTTTTCATAATCAAATTTATAATTCAATCATACAATCAATTAATATTCCTAATCAAGAAGAAAATAATTATTTTGAATCATCTTTACCTTCATTAACATTAGTTGAACAAGAAAATATTGTTCAACCAGAATTACGAGTTCGACTTTTATCACAACAAGATTGGCCATATTTTACTGCTTAAAATACTAATGATGTATATTTTCGTTTTTTTCCTACTTCAATATTTTCTTCTGTTTTTTGTTTTTAATAAGATCAAATTATTATGAATTATGAAAATAACTTCATTTTTTTTTTGTTCTTATTATTAGCGCGGAACGAAATTCATCATCTGTAGTTATACATGATGTTCAACATGTATCGAATAATGAACCAATTTATGGAACACATCCTATACTTTATCCATTATCAAAACGAAAACATTCAGTATCAGTTATCGATTTACAAGATCAACCATCAACAAGAGAATTTCGTCGACCAAAACGAACAACAAGATCAGTATCACCATCAAATAGTTTTCGTTATATTTTACCATTTAATTCTCAACGAGAACAAAAAACAAAAAATTTTGAACAAACATCACTTGGTAATACACAAAATGTACCAATAACAATAACCAAAAGTCCTATGTATAATAATGATTATTTATAATTATTATTTTATAAAGAGAACAGTATTTTGTTTTTTTTTTCTTTATTGTTTATTGTTATTAGTAAAAAAAAATTTCTTTCCTTCTTATTTAAAATAATAAAATTTAAAAATTTCTTTGATCAGTATTAATTTGAGAATAATTAAAAGGAAAATAAGAGAATATAAATATTCGACATTGAAAATGTTAGTCTTTTTTGTATGCGAATTTTCTTAATATTTCGAAATTCGATCTTAGACGTATATACAAAAAACACATATAATTATTTATCAAGAATATTACCGAATAATAGAAATTGTTTTTTCCTTTATGAGACAAAAATGAGAACGAGAAATTGAGATTATCCTTCATTGTTTCATAGTACTGATCTTATGAGTATCCTTGAAACTTTCCGGTGCTCTCTGGCCAATAAATAGATCCTTCATGTCCTGATAAATAAATCTTTACAATGCTTTAATTCTCAGATCAATGATTCTGGCGTTCAGATCCGTGAATTTCCGCCAGAAAGACACCGTTTTTGACTGGAAAACTTCGAAAAATGGTAGGAGCTTGGAAGCAAGAAGTAGGTGGGCAGATTTTTCCAATTCTGGTTGTGATCGGGTCGAGTCGGCCATCAGATTTCTGCTATTTTTCTGGCTGGCAATGACCCGTATTTCTTGACTCGTGTTAAATTCTTTTTCTCATTAAACAATCCGAATAAATATTAAAAATTCAACTAATACAATATTTCTTCTGCTATTTACTAACTGAGTCTTTATAGATAAACATAATTTTACAAAGAATTGAAATTTTATTGCGAAAATTTGTTATAGCAATTAAGCGAAATTAGTTTCAAGGTCGATAGACAATTTTTTAAATTAATTGCACTTTGACCTTCAAGGTTTGCCTGTTCAATAAAATAGTATAATAATATACTACCCTGATCAATCTATATTTTGACATACATATCTGTTATTTGAAGTTTTTCCCATTAAATTCATAGTTTATGATTTCGCATGTTCCACCTTTTAAAACTTCAGCAATATTTTCAAGGTTGAATTGAACATTGATTGAAAACTAAACCTACTGTATGTTTAAATACTTATATTTCTCATTTAAAAATTTCAAATTATTTTGTTGAACCTTTTAAAATCATCTATTTTTATGTTTTCAATTCATTTTGTTTAAGTCATATCAAAACTTTCATAACAATATATGACAAATATATTGTTCTATTATTCAATATATAAAGATCGAATGATTTCATAACAAATAAAAGAGGAGTAAATGTGAGATTGAATTTAATTATGACAAATATGACAATTTATTAATAAATATAAAAAACTATGCCATTAAAATAATTAAATACGTTCGCTAGTAACATTAACAAAACCGTGTGGATCCATTGGCATTTTCTGTTTTTCTTTTAGACGTTTAGCTTCTTGTAATTCTTGAATAACCGGCCATAGACAAAATGCCTAGAATAGAAATAAAAAAGAATTCATATTTAAAATATGAATATTCTTTTTTCTTTTACAAGATTAAGTTACTTACAAATAAAATAAGTATACAAACAGCGATCGTCACTGAAAGGACAACAACACCGACAATCACAACTGGTATTGTCATAGTTTATTTTTCTATCTGAATTTTTATTTCAATATATTTAATTTTGATATCTAGGTGTGAAAAAGAAAAAGTTTAACAGTAGAAAAAGAAAATTAGTTTTACAATGTGTTTTTCAGGACTTTTTTTTCTTCTTATATTGAAATAGTTAATCATTCTGTGACAATTTTTTTCTTTTCACGACGCAGCAATATAAAAAAAAACATTTTTTTTCCCTTTTAAGAACCCATTTGATGCTCACGTGCAATAAAAAAAAAAATAGGAAAAAAGAAAGAACAGAACGAATAACTTGGCATAAAACTTTTTTTCTCGCTTTGTTTGCGTTCATTGTGAATAAATATAATCATTTACTTGATGACGATTGCAGCAAATGTTTGTTCAAGGAAAATTGAAGTCCTCACTGAAGGTTATATTAGTACAAAAATACAAGGTATGAATGATATGGTAAGTAAAATGTAGTACTTGAGACTAAAGTCTTATTCGAGGCGTACGAGTTTCTATTATTAACATTGAAGGTTAATCATATTAGAATAATTCTAGCATGAACGAGAAAAGGTTCGTAACTGAAAAATGCTGATTAAACTGATTTTTTCCCCGTATATGGACTGCAGTATGATTAGTGGAAACTTGAAAGGATAAGGCTCTGTTTTCCAAAGTTATAACTAATTTTTTCTGAGTTTTCAGCATTTGAGTAAGATATTCATGAAGACATCTAATGATCGAATTTCAATCTGAAATTCTGATAACCATTAGAAGATCCTGAAAGTTTGGACCAACAGAAATATTTTTTTTCATGAAATATTGAATTTTCAAATCTCACTCATATCTCATAAGAAGATCATGAAAATTATGCTGTTCCAGAAATTGAACGTTTCATGAACGAACTATTTATTCTACTCGAAACTTTTAGCATCTTCTTAGGGCTATAAGATGTACATATGGACAAAATTTCAGTTTGAAATTCGATCATTAGATGTCTCCGTCAATACTTTGACCACATGCTAAAATCTCATAAAAGTAGCTATAACTTTTTAAAAGAGATTCTTGCTCTTCAGGTTTTTGCTAATCTTACTGCGAGCTATTTACAGGCAAACAGAATCAGTTTAATCAATGTTTGTTAGTTGTGAGTCTTCCCTCGGAAACTATCAATAATAGACTAGAATAATAAAACTATTCAAAATAAAAACCAAAATTTTCTCTTTCAACACTAATTAGACGAGATTTCTGTTTGATTCAATCGTTAACAAAACAAGTTTATTCCAATTGAATTTTTCGTTGGACCATCATTGCTTATTTGATCATATCATGAAATTCAATATTTTTATAGTACAAATATTTGTTACTTCAGTCATAGTTAGTTTTGTCGTTACAATTGTTATTAATTCAGTTTTCATTGCCATTATGTGTTCGAAACAATTTTATATAGATGCATGCATTTACTTGATAGAAAACTATTCTAATTACCAAATTCATCGAAAATTAATTTAAATTTTTCAAATTTTTTTGTCGATTTCAATGTTCTAGATAGAGACTGCCTCATTAAAAAGATTTTTAGTTCAAGCAAAAGGTGTTTTGATATCAAACACTTGAATTACAATTTACTATTGTCATCTTGGGACATACTTTTTTTTTCTTTCATCATCTGCTATTTTTCAATGGAATGTAGCAATGAACAATAAGTCAATAATGGACTTCTTTTTTATAACTAAGGCCAAATGCGAAAGATCTATAAAACTTTTTTTTTAATCTGCTATCACAACTTTGCTAAAATAAAACAACTTGGTCAGAATATACATAATATTTTCGTCTAAAAAACAGTCAGATAAAATTAAATGGTTGAAAGCTTACTTGAAAAATTTAATAATTAGACATACACATCTATTTAAATAGGTAGACTTCTAAATATTTGATACTCTTGTTTTCACTCTTCTTTTTTCCATAAAAAAAAAACTTTCAATACGAGGACGAATCATATTCAGTGTACTTTTCTGAAATTCTTCATCTATTGTCAAGAATCACTACATTCTCATTAGGATAATTTACACGAAAAAATTGTCAGTAGAATATCAATTGTAAAGATACATAATTATAAACAAAAAAAAAACAGTTTTTAAATCAAATCATTTCTATTATATTCATTTTAAATAATCGATGTCAGTCAACTAATACTTTCATCAATAGTCAATTCTCGACGAAATGATGCCTAACTAAAAAGCCGTTTTATTTTTCTTGACAAAATATAAATACTATGCATTCGTGCACAATTTCACTTAATGTTTTATCCAGATTTTCTCCTCCAAAACTGCGATTTAAAACTCTAGACATATTTGGAATCGGATCGGCCCGATTTTTTATTGATTTTTTTGGGTATTAAGGCTAGTTTATTTTGATCGTTCTTAATGATTTCCACAGTTTTAATAATCAAGAGATATGAAACAGGAAATATTCGACTGACAAATTTCGAGTCACCATCAAAATCACATTTCTAAATATTAAGCTAACACTTTCTCATCGTATAATGAGAGCCTCGAATCATGCTGAATGAATTTATTATGCTCACAAAAAGTTAGTCGACCATTAGAAGTTAATTTCGGTCTAAAGTAGAGATTTTTCACCTCGAAATTTTGAGTTCACTTTTAGCTGACTCTCATAAAATATCAATAGCTAATAGTTTTCAGTTCATGTTTTAATTACTGAGTATTAGAAGAGATTCCGTTCCGCTATCAAGATCTTGCCAACTACTACCATCATGCAACTGTATTAAGAAATCTTAAAATAAGAAGTGTAGTATAAAAATCGTACATTTTAGTTCACCTTATCTTTCTGTCAACGATAGTATTCTTTTACAAATTGAAATGTCTTTCAGCTGTTTTAAATAATTATTTCAAATAAGAATAGATCAAACTTATCATTTGTAAAGAAATCATATCATTATTGAAAAAAGCCAGTCAAAGCACAGTATAGATGTTAGTTGCTTTGAGTTACTAGATGAAATGTGACAGACTGAAATAGTAGTTATTGCTATTAGAAACCATAAACACGCAATATATGGTAGAATAACCACTAACTCTGAGTGGTCCAAACTGATCTTCTAAGAGGTGCTACTTTATCAGCCCTCGCGCTGGATAAAACAATGATTTCATTACCGTTTTTCTATACTACCCATTAATCAATTATTTATTAGTAAATTATTTATTTTCTTTTATTTTTAAATGAATAATGAAAATGACAAATAAAAGTAATGAAGAAAGAAAAAAACTGAATGCTATGCATAACATACAGCTTTATTTGGTTCTAATAAAGAAATAAAAACAGGATTGCCTGAAATAATCCATTGATCATTCGTTTGAGCACCATCTACTCCACTGAGATAGATACAACTTGGTTTCCAAGCTATATCAAACAAAAACAAAGAATCTTCAAATAAACAAATGAAAATACTAGACTTACGTGATCCAACCCATTTACCATCATTAATAAGTTCAACACCTTGTATAATATTATCTGTTTTATCGAATTTCACATTTGTATATATCATACATACATCCACTTGATTTCGTTCAAATGCATTCATTGATGGACCAATACTTCTTAATGCTTGTCGAGTCAAATTATTTTTTGTTCCAACAATGGTAACATATATATTCGAATCAGTACCAGCACCTTGTTCATCAGCTGTATAAATTTCAAAAAATAAATAACCTTTATAAGATGTTGTTGTTTCTTCTATTGTAGTCAACATCGTTGTTTTGTCTTCATTTCTAATTAGATTTGTAGCATTAAAGATAGCAAGACTACCAACAGTACTCATTGCAACAATGAATATAACAATGATGTGCATCGTATTATGCATGTATATACTTCGTGTAAATAGTAAAGAATCGTTCGTTGCTTCGATGCTCTATTTTATATTTAAAGATAAACTAATCATAGAACGAAAAGTTGATACTTTTCTTGTAAATAGTTATTATAAAAGTAGAAAAAAAAACTGATAAACTTGTCTATTCGTGTGTCTTAGACGTAGACATGTACTCATCATTCATCATTGTCAGTTATATAGAAAAGATTCATAAAATGATAAATGAAAATGACTTATCATCATGAAAGAGAATCAGTTTCATTCTTCAATATTCTTAAAAGAAAAAACAATCAAATTTTTTTTTCAATGAAAGGAGGGGGGTTGTTAAGAGGCAAAAACGGCCCCTTGTCGGAATTCGGTCTTGTCTTTCCAATTTTATCAGTTTAGGTGTCAAAAGTCTATTTCTATTGAAATTAGACAATTTGATGCGTTCTACATTGTACGCGACTCGACTTAGTTATTCTTCTTTTCTCCTTGTTATATAGGGCATATATAATGGTGGTATAGTACTTTTGATTATCAGAAACATATCAATCCATTTTGGATCATATACTAATCGATAGATCTCTTCGAGATCTATCAGATGATAGTAAAATATCTAGAGAAAAAAGTGGCTAAGTGGATCTGATGGTCAACACAATGGGGATGGAGTCATATATTACAGGGTGTAGAGTGATGGTAGAGAACTTTTGTCTATGAGAAACATGCAGGTCCATTCTAAATTATATACTAATCGATAGATCTCGTCGAAATCTGTTAGATGATGATAAAATATCTAGAGAAAAAAGTGGGTAAGACACTTCATTGGTGCATACAATGCTCATTGATGCCCCAAACTACCCTTTTAGACTGATTTTGATCGATTTTCTCTTAGATAGTCAGGCTTGTTATTTAAAAAAATAATATATTTGAAATCAGCACAAAAAACTGAGTCGATCTATGTATACGGTAAAGTGCTTCATTGACTTTCATTTTCGTCGGAAAATTTAGCTGTGGTCCCCCTCAGGGATGCGTTGGATTTTTTCGGCGAAAATGAAAGTCGATGAAGCAATTTACCATATACACAGATCGACTCAGTTTTTTGTGCTGATTTCAAATATATTGTTTTTTTTAAATAACAAGCCTAACTATCTAAGAGAAAATCGATCAAAATCAGTCTAAAAGGGTAATTTGGGGTATCAATGAGCATTGTATGCACCAATGAAGTGTCTTACCCACTTTTTTCTCTAGATATTTTATCATCATCTAACAGATTTCGACGAAATCTATCGATTGGTGTATAATTCAGAGTGGATCTGCATGTTTCTCATAGACAAAAGTTCTCTACCATCACTCTACACCCTGTATTATATGACTCCGTCCCCATTGTGTTGACTATCAGATCTACTTAGCCACTTTTTTCTCTAGATATTTTACTATCATCTGATAGATCTCTTCGAGATCTATCGATTAGTATATGATCCAAAATGGATTGATATGTTTCTGATAATCAAAAGTACTATACCACCATTATATATGCCCTATATAATAAGGAGAAAAGAAGAATAACTAAGTCGAATCGCGTACAATGTGGAACGCATCAAATTGTCTAATTTCAATAGAAATAGACTTTTGACACATAAACTGATAAAATTGGAAAGACAAGGCCGAATTCTGACAAGGGGCCGTTTTTGCCTCTTAACAACTCCCTCCTTTCTATTTTGTTTATAGAGAAGTTCCATATCTCGTTTCAAGCTCTACTCCACGAGCTCTAATTATTAGAAATTGAAGAATATTAATTGAGTTTTTGTTACTAATAATCTTTTAGCATATATATGTCACATATAATGATTTCTTAGTTTTAAATATGTGTGAGATCAACTTGTTTTAGATCCGATTTCGATAATCTTCTTTTTCTAATGATTCTAGTCATAGATCTGATATATTTTATCTGATTATGATCCTAATGATTTTTTCTTTTTAGATATAAATCAAGATCTAAATCTGAGTCTAGAAAAAACTATAAAAGAATTTATTTACATTAAAATGAATAAACATCTTAAATAACTCATTGTTTTGATTAATTCAATTAACAGATATATAATTGCTTTTGATTATCTCATCTTAACTTTATTTTGATTAAAATGACTTATGAAATAATTCTCTCAAAACTATAAAATATCCAACTGTTGTAGAATCTTTAGTTCTAATGTGAGTGACGTCTTCTTTCATAGTCTTGCTTTCAATCTAATCTCATTAATCTTCAGATTTGAATTTCAATCTGGTTTGACATATCTCTATTTTGATTGTATTAGTATCTTCTGGTATCTCCTTGTTTGAGTGTGTTACACAAGGCGAGTCAGTACAACATTTGAATATTGAATTTTATGAATAAATACGAAAAAGATGCTCATACGTATTTGAAATTGCACTGAAAATTAAGTTGATAGCTATAAGTAAGAATCATACTATTCCAATTTGACTTTTTCAATAAAGACAAGACTATTTCAAGAAAGTATAATTTCATATAAAACTTGACTAAAAGTTGTCACAGTTGAGGAATCCGAACCTCTAATCAGTTTTTCGAAATTCTTGAGTTCCATTTTTTTTGGTTAAGGAAGCCTATTTCATGCAGTATATTCATGTTTTATAATATTGAGCATTTCTTTTTTTTTTGAGCAAGATCTCTTCTGATCGAAAATAATCGAAGTTAAGAGTTTCAAAAAACTGATTAGAAATTCAGATTGTTCGGTCCCAAAAACTTTTACTCTTATTTTTAACAAAGTCGTTAACGCAATTCTTATCAAATTAAAATGTGAAACACGATGAAGCTCCATATATCGTAAATGAAGCAATTCAGCAAGGTATATATCATTTATTGAATTCCTATATACTGATACAATGACTATAGAAACAAAGCGAAATTTTTCAATAAACTCTAGTTTTGCTGATTATATCTATTACAGTCTACGACCGGATAGCTATCGTTAATGTATTTGTCTACGCCTGTGATTGAGCGTAAGGTTCTGTGATGAATGAGAAGGTCTTTCTATGGTATTTATGATGGTAAATTGATGATATCTATTAGGTTCTGTAACGATTTGCATACTGATGTCTGTCATGATCTGCAGAGTGGATTCAAATATCTACCTCTCATATACTTCGACGATCGTTTTAGATCATGTTTCACACAAAATAGTGTCATCTTCATTGAAAAAATCGAATTGAAGCATGATAAATCTCCTACATAACTATCATCTGAATTTTCAGTCGAATTTTAAACATCTATGAATATCTCAGCATGTTTAGTACTTTAAATGTTTTCTCAAAGTTAGATTTGAAAAATTTAATGTATTTTAGAAGACCACAATGGTTCACAGCATCAGAAATCATGTTGTTTTTGCTTGACTTACATCGTGCTAACTCTTTTCTATTGTATCTTTTCTGAACACATATTGATCAATACTAAAGCCTAAAACAGAACGTCAAATCAAAATGAAGTTTCGAATTGAAAAAGTTTTTACTCTAGGCGAGAAGTGAAAAACCTTTCTCCTTTCAGTCCCTGTAGCTTACTGTTTTAGCGTGAGTACTGTAAATATTCTTAACTATATTGAATTTTTCAAACTAATTTTTGCCTTTTTTTTTCTTAGTCATATAGAACTTCTTACGACTGTAAAAATAAATTATAAGATTTCAAAAGAAAAGGTGGTTTCGAAAGCTGCTACAAAAAAAGAAAAAACAATTTGTCATCCAATTACAGGCGATCTATTGAGAGAGGAAAACAGTGTAGTCTAGTTTCAAAGTTTGAAAAAAAACTGTCAATATTTTTTGCATATTATTATCACGAACAATAAAAAAAATTAGAAGATGACTTAATTGCGTATAATGAATTCTCATGAATCATACTGATAATTTTCATCAACACATCGTTAACTTCACGAGAATATTATTGTTGATTTTCTATCAAAAAATAATGGTCAACAGACAAGTCATTATTAATCGTAGTTCGAAATCTCTATGATCATCAACTCTGAATTTTTTTACTACTCTGTTCATAGGATGAAAATACCCAATTAAAATTTGAGGATTTTCAAAAATATTTAGAATTATAAAAATATAGAAACATTACCAATTCATCCACTTATATAATGTATCTTTGAACTATAACTAATAAAAAGCAACTCCTTTCAACTGTTATCACAGGATCATGATTATTACTATTTTCTTTATATCGAAATCTTCCTTGTAGGGGGGTAGTCAGAAAAGACAATTCACAATAATCAAAATAATAAATAGATTTGCTTCTTCTACTGAATTATATAAAATGATTTGTATATCAAATTCTTAAATCATATGAATATTCACTACTTAATAAAAGAAAAAACGATAAACATCGGATGATAAAAGCGAAGTATATTTGAAAAACAAAATTTCATTGGATATGAAAAGAAAAATTTTATAGTAAATTATACGTCTCTTCATAAGTATTATATTGAATGAAACATAAATATTGATTGAAACGAAGTATGAATGTATCTCATTTTAATGTTGAATTGCAACAAAATTCTCATTTCTATATGATTATTAGAATTGATTATTAAGTTCTATCTAAAACATATTCATCGGTGTTGAGAATATTTCTTTTATTTTGATTCCAATTTACATTAAATTTTTCTTTTTAACAGATCTTGGAATACATAATCGTTATAAGATCAAAGTATATTATTCTACTGTTTTCTCTTAATATAGACTCATAAATGTAAGAATGAGATATAGTAAAAAACAACTTGAAAAGAACTTAAATATGAAGAGCTAGAGTCAGAACTGATCTTGCGTCTACAGGCTATTATTTTTAGTTATTTAACATATATGAAAATAGATGATTTGTAAGACTGAAATGAAAATGAATAAGAACATCGTGCAATACTCACAATTGCTATGGAACTAACACTAAATTATTAAATTTGATCAATCAAAAAAAAATATCGGTTAAAGAGATATCCAATAGTATGAAAAGAAGCATTATACACACTTTGTCAATTAATATCTATGTACTTTTTATAGTTTATTTTTTGATAACTTTTTCTTAGTCTGTTAAAACTAAATAACGTTTTTTTTCGTGTGTGACAATATTTTTTGATCATCAAGCTTTTTCAATATTCATTCCACATTATTATTTCTCAGTAAACTGTAGGTATTCCTCCACACCGATGACCATCTCATCCTTGCTCTGTGGTGTTTTGTACTGCAGTTCAGACCAATTAGGTTAAGGGTATCGTGGACCCGGTTAAGAATCAAAGTCTAGTGTACAAAGCAAACAATATATCTATATACGTTACAATATTAACCTAGGAGTAACATTTTTAAATGAATATATAACTTTTCTTCAGATACATGTACCATGTTCACCAAGAGGGGTGCGCGAGTACGAATATAAATTGTACTAGAGAAATGAATAACATTTCATCGCGTAAAGAAGCATTCGTGCACCTCATATATCGCCATATATTGATACGTTGTTGTACTGCCATACCAACATGTGTATCCATGAAAAATTTAGAATTCTATAATTCATGTATTGGTATGTATTAATCAGTACACATACTGCCATGAATAATCCAGTACATGAAATCTAGAACTCTAGATTTTTAAACGGCATATATTTTATTATGACGGTACATGAGACTATATAGTAGAACATGTCAGTACAAGTTGTACTCATATTGACGCATCTCTGTTCACTAATTACTGTGGTCATATATTAATCTGTTTGATCTCTGAAAACAAAGTGCTGAATGTGAATGAAGAGTTGTGTGCATCACGTAGAAGTATTTGAGAAGAAAACCACAACTTGAAAAAAACATTGATAATCAAAAGAATTTTTGCTCTTTTTTTTTCTATAAATTGCAAAAAATACAACTTCTATGTGTCTATAAGTATTATTCTATTCGTCATTTAGTTATTTTTCAACAATGAGAGAAAACAGATATCGTTTAATCGTGATAAAATGTTATGCTCTCTCTTTCTTCATCTTTCAGCAACGTGACTATTTCTTTTTTCATTATTAAATAGAACGATCGATTTTGACTACTTTTAGACATGTGGCTAGACTAAATCATTTTCATATCATTTCTACATTCTGTATATTCTGCATATCGTTCGCGTTCAGATATCAATCTAAAATAACACACATAAGGATCATCTTTTAAATTTAATAAGACATTTTTTTGTTCAAAAAGAAAAAAAAATTTAAGGAAAAAAAAAAGCAAAAACTCAAGTTTATTTCTATAATGTCTAATGAATTATTTGTTGATGGTATCTGTGAAATAGATGATACAGCAATACAATCTTATTTTTCACGATTTGGTTCTCGTATAATAAATTATGAATCTCATCGTCATCGTCCAACAAATTCATGCTGTTTTGCTTTAATATCATTTGTATCACATCATACTGTAAATGCTATTCTTCGTCAACGACCACATTCAATTGATCTTTATCCATTATTTGTTAAACGATTACTTCCACCTTCTGTATGTTCATTTATTGAACGTCTTTTACCTGTATCAAGTATATTTGTCTATAATAAACTAAATAAACAATTCGATGAACAAAAATTAAAAAATTATTTTAACAATTTTGGTCATATTTTAAAATTTGAACATGATTATGTTCATAATCGTTTACTTATTGAATATGATGATTATGATTCTGTTGATAAAATATTTTTAAATAAAGAACATTTACCAAAATATATGGATATACATAAAAATATTTTACCATATGCACAAAATACAATTGAATATCATGGTATATGTCATCTTAAACAACAAGGTAATACAACAATTGATGGAAAAAAGAAAAAACGAAATCACAAGAAAAAAAATCTTGTCAATGGTCAATATCAAGATTTATTACAAAAGACTATTGAAAATTTAATAAATTGTAAAGCTCAACTAAAAAATAAAGAAAACGATTATGTTATTCTTCAAATGGGTAAGCTCATTTTATAGAATATTATCAAAATATATCCTTCTTCCTTCTCTTGTTCTATAAAGAATATGTTGCCATAAAAGAAAAAGCTGATGAATTAGATCAACTTCTTAATGAACAAAATCAAACAGTAAAGTCATGTCTATCATGTAAAGAACATGAAGTAACTATTAGTAGATTACAACAAACATTAATAAAACTTAATAAACAATATGATACAATTAAATCACAATATCAACGATTACTATCAACACAATACACGCCTATAGGAATTTCAAAATCTAGTAAGCATAATTATAATTTAAAATAATTAAACCTTGAGAGCATATTTAATGTTCAGAACACGAGATTTCGGCGCAACATCGTCAGTATTCCTTATCAACTAGATTAAATAATAATGAAAATTTTAAAAATAAAGGTTTATTTTGTTAGTAATTCTAACCTTCCAAATGAATTTTTTCTTTTGTTTCCATAGTACCAGATAGTTGTTTGTCTCAATCTAATCTATCAACGCTTGGCTCATGTGATATTGGTATATTTAATTTTTATGCAATTACTAATTGTTTTTTTTTCGTTTCTATTAGTTATGAAGCAACAAAATTCTTCAATGCCAATAATTCGATCACCTATTCAACAATATCAAACAACATACAAGTGTAATTTTATAAAAAGTGACAAAGATTAAACTATAATGCTTATTGATTTTTACTTTTACATTCTAGTAAATCATGTCGTTTTTTTTTTTTTTTTTTTTGTAGTTAGTCTTTTTTGTTTTTGAAAAGAAGAAAAAAACTTTTTGTGCATATTAACATATTGATTTTTTTATTAGCAAACCCCAAGAAAAGCTATAATCATTTTAAAATTCAATAGAATGTGTTTATATGAGTTCGTTCATTTGAAATTTATCGTTTCTTTTGTGCTAATCTAATCGATGTACCACAGTGAGGACATTCAAGTTGACTTGGTTCATATGTAACAGGTACTGAAGCTGCTTTCCATGTTGGTGATGGTGATCGTTTATCATGTTGACGAGTAACTTGTGCTGGTAATTGTGAATTTTCGATAACTACACGATTCTTTTTACTTCGACTACCCATACTAGCCAAAATAAAAAGAAGCATATATAAGAGAGCCGTGGCTAATAATGCAGCAGCCATAGCTAATTGAGCTTTTAAAACTTGAACTTTTCTACCAAGTGGTATACCTGATTGTCGAGTATAAGATGATTCTAGATCACGACAAATTGCATTGGCAAAAAAACATTTCTCTATGTCTCCAATAAATAAAGCATCCAGAACGATCAGAGTTATAGCAGCAGCTGCACAAAGTATTGATATAAAAAAAACATATAAAGCACATTTACGTGAACGATGACAACAAACTATATGAAAGAAAAAAGCAAAATAATTAATTAATTAAAAATAGAACATTTTATCTTATTTCTTAACTACCCAATGTAAACATAGCAACCCATGACACAGTGAATATAATTGATAACCAAAAACCAGCATAAAGTGTTCCTGTAACAGGTGATATAACTACGGATGCTATTTCAAGACCAATAATAGCAAATGTTAAAATCATTTGTAAAAATCCAATTATAATTGGTATTACAATGGAAAATTTTGAACGCCATTGCATTTCTTTATCGAATTCAGAGGTATACAAATATGTTGGTTGCATCTTTTTTACAAAATCGATAAGTAAAAAATGACTTTTGTTGTGAAAATAGAGACCGAATTTCTCTTTTGTATTATAGAGAGCATCAGCATCTCGAATTTCTGCGTATATGTATAAGTACGATATTCGAGATTTTCTTTCATCTTTTTCTTTTTTCTTTTTTTTTCCTTTGTTACTTGACAACTAAATAACTGCAAGAAGCAGAAAGAAATATCATATGTTTCGATAATTAAAAACCGTCATTTATCAATATTGAAAATAATAATAATAAAGAACTTCATCGAACTAATTGTACAGTTATGTTATTGGACAGACGAAAAAGAAAAGAGAAAAAGTCAGTGCATAATTTGCCCACCCTTAAAAGGTGAAACAAAAAGAAAAATATGTACATATTTTTATATATTATATGATGCATTGATGCGTTGCTCTTTGTCAATTAGATAGTAACAACGATCGAATGATAAAGGTATACGACAAAAAAAAGCATCTACCGTCGCCTTGAATAACTAACTTTTTACTTTGATTTTTTTCCTATGTTATTCTATGGTTAAAACAAAAAAATGTAAGTTTTACAATCATATACTTCTTTCGTTATTGATCAGTTGTCGACTAACTATAAACTATCAAACACATCGAATAACTTTTATATTTAGAAATTCGTATTTATATATGTATCAGTATGAAATTGTATTTTCTTCTAAATTCAAATAAATCCGAATGTTGGTAGAAAGTAGTTGAATTTATATCGGCATCTTGATATCGTGTTTTTCAAAGAATTCAATTATTCATAAAAGTTTGTTTTTATTATTAATACAAAAGATTAACTAAAATAAAATACACATTAATCCATAAAATATTCTTTATATAGATCTTGTTTATTTTGCATATTTTTACGTTCTTTTGATCCAATAAATATAATAATAATAATATTGGAGACTAAAACATTATGCAAAATCCTGATTTGATTTCTACGAATAAAAATAATTCTAATTCTATCAAACATGTTACCACAAAAATATATCGTCGTAGTAACTATTTAAATGTTCAAAGTTCAAAATTAATTGTAGTTGATTATCTTAAATTAGTTGCTATTTTTGTATTACTTATTGCTAGTATCATACTTTATAAATATGAACCATCACCACCACCAACATTAAATGAAATAATAGTTAATCAAACTCTAAATAATCAATCACAAAATCATGAAACTGACGAAGTAGATGATAATCCATATGGATTTCATCCATTTTATAAAGTTCATAAACGTATTCAATATAAAAATCCAAATATTAATCCATGTAATGGTATCGATCCAAAGAAAACTTTATTAATTGCAATATTATCACGTGCTAGTAATGTTCACATACGTGAAGCTATTCGATCAACTTGGGGTGCTTCTAGAACATATAATGGTATTGATATACGTCTTACATTTATAGTTGGTGTTGATGATGGAATGTTAAAACAAATTGAACTAGAACAAGCAATTTATCATGGTAAATTTTTATTTATATTTTTAAAAGAAGGGAAAAAACAGAATTTTTCATTTTTTATATTACTAGATGTTGTACAAATAAATTTGCCAGAAAATTATCCTATTGTATCTTATAAAGAATTAGCAACATTATGTTGGAGTAAATATTATTGTTCAAATATACAATATGTATTTAAAGCTGATGAAGATATTCATTTAAATACACCATTATTAACTCGTATTATTGCTGAATTAATGAGAAATGAATCATTACCACAAATACCAATAATGTATGGTTGGTTTAGACATAAGTCACGTGTTGATCGTCATGGACGTTATCTTATTACAGAAGAAGAATATCCTGGTTTTTATTATCCACCATATACATTTGGTATTGGATATTTATTAACACAAGCTGGTCGTGATAATTTATGTACTGGTGCACAACGTCCACATCCAGTTACACGTGTTGGTGATGCTTATATAACTGGTATTCTACGTGATCATGCTATGGTTCAATATGCACGTTTTGCTGACATGCATTATATTTATTCAACTACATTTAATGGACTACATTGTCATGAATATTTTATTTATGATCCGAAATTACTTATATGTATGTCTAGTCTACACTCTGGTACTAATGATGTAGCTGATGAATATGTTCTGGTATGGAGTGCACTATATAAAGACAAAGATAACGAACATGTTGACCAAGAATAAAAGAATTCATTTGTTGTTTTCTTTTATATAAGATTAAAATAAAAACGATTATTTCTTTTTTTTTGTTTTTGTTTAATTATATTGAGAAAGTATGACGATAATTATACTTGCAAGTAATATCTGCAGTATTGGAAAAATCACAACAATTTCTGTTATTAAATGAATAGCACAGATGTTCAAAGCAAATGAATTATTGAAGCTTTCAAGTATTGAATCTAAAAATAAAGTTCTTTTTCATAACGTACATTGTTATGATCAAGTTTTATACTCGTCGTAACATTCTTATTATATAATAGACATCTAACGTGTAAACTCGTTCAATTAAATGTCACATAGTTTTTATGAGACAAGTATCATTTTTTTGTACTCTTTCGACATTTATTTGTAATTTTTGTCGAACAAATCTTCTCTTGTACTAATGGTCTAAGGTGTTGATCAAAGATCACATAATTAGTTAGACGAGAAGGGCAGAGGTGAGGTCGACTGATCACTTAAGGACCTTCACAAAAAACATCAATGTTCGAAACTAAGACAAATGTATGGGAGGATATCCCGAGCCTGATCTTTCATAAATGACATAGTTTTTTGTTTGGCACCTTCTTTTTTTTGCGAAAATTTTCGATCATTTCTATCGTCACTTGCTTGAAAAACATGCTATTTTCAGAAAAGTAAGAACTCTTTTTTCGTTTTTTTTTCTATGAATATATGTCTTTGGTTGCACATCCCAAAATTCTCGAAGGAACTTCATTATAGCCAATGGCTTTTCTTATGTTTAAGAGAGCATGTCAGGATATAAGGCATGATAGAGTCCTTTTTTTTTTGAATTAAGCTTTGCTCTGATTATATAAAAGAGTACTGTTATAATTGTAGCATCATTTTTGAACACATTGATCTTTCTCTCCTTCAACAGTAAGAATTAAAAAAAAAGGGCTCTATCATGCTCTGCATCCTGACATACTCTTTTAAACAAAACAATTAAGCAAATAGAATGAAGATCCAAAGAGAGTTCGAGATTATCGAATGAGATATTTTTGACTGTTGTTTGTTAAATATTTCCAGAAAATGTCATGGTATACGACTGGACATTCGAACATAGCCTCTCCACTACAGTTCCAACATGTTCTGAAAATTTCATGCGATTTGAATGTACTTGACTCAAGATTGGTTCTTGAGGGATGGCTGGGAACGTTAAGATCGCCTAGAAGAGAAAGAAATAAAATCGATTGATCGCATGATTACCTAGATGTGATTTTAAAAGAATCAATTATTTCCATGAAAAAAGCCTCATTTGTCAGATAAATAGTCTCTAATCTTGTTTCGAAAATCGTTTTCTAATATAAATTTTGCCAGAATGTATCAAAAAGTTAAGTTCCTTATGGCGATGAAATGTAACTACTAACAGAATCTTCTAGCTTTCAAATTTCTATAGGATCTGGTTAGACGATCTGTATTTCAAGCGTTAGATTAAGCATCAATGATGTTGCTGATCGTCTGTATCTATACCTCTCCTTATGGACGACGAAACATGTAAAAAGATTTAATATGAAAGAAAACGATATTGGTAATTCGATGATATAAAGAAATGCGTCAACTCAACAAACAACTCGATGGAATAGGACCCTAGCAAATGTTCTATCTGTTAACCAAGGTTAACGTTTTGTGAAATACGATCTACAAAAGAATGCTGAAGCATAGGATAGAAATTTGAATCCATTCCTTTCCCTATGTCACAGCCCGTGTCAGACGTTATTGGTATATGATCATAGACTTCATATCAATGATGTCTCGTTATAGTATATGAACTATCTCCTTATTGTATTTTTGGAGGATTAAGCAAAAAAATGATGAAGAAATGTGCCCAAAAATAGATAGAATAAAACGATCTCCCAGTGATTAGCAACAGCAGCTATATCGTGTTTCACAATTTAATCCCGTGAAGATTGCGCTAACAGTTTTTTTTTAAAGAAGAGAATAAATTGATCTTCTGTTTGTGCAAAGCTACAAATATACAGTATAATTTTAAAAGTTTTTCGACAAAAATTTATTGGAGGAGGGTATACTATATCGCATGATCAGAGATACTTCTATTGATTTAATACTGAAATAATTAATCAGTAAAATAATTGTTTAGATGTTTATTTATTTTTTTGTTAATACAAAACAAAAAAACAGAACAAAAATTTTATTCTTCTTCTTTTAAAATAATTTTCGATCGTTCTGAAACAAATGGTATTGAACCAGGTTTGCTATTAGCACGTGCATTAGCTTCATGACGTTTTTGACTTTCACGTATGGTTTTATGTTCACGTTTAGCATGATAAACATGTTTTGGTAAATGACGTTGTTGAGCAATACGTTTTATTTTCGGAAAATGTGAAAATTTTTCTTTTAATGCATCATTATATTCAAGTGTTTCTGCTTCACGATTTCGTATCTAATGATTAATGTATTCACTTTTTTTTTATAATAGATAAATTTCAAATAAATAACTTACCACACCAAGTTTTTCACTTGCTTTAGCTTTCCATAATCTTAAACACATTTCATCTGAACCTGATATGACATATTTATTATCTAATGTCCATTGAACACAACTGATATGTTGCATACGTTTTGTATGATAAATATCTCTGAAAAATTAATAAAAAAAAAAAAAAAATAGAACTCTACAGAAAAGAATTAGAAATTTTATACGAACCGACTATGTCCTTTATCAGAAGCAAATATACGAACAGTTTTATCATAACTACCACTAACAAATTCTTTGCCTGTTGGAGCATAATCAACATCAATAACAGCTGCTACATGATCTTTATGAATATTAAACGGTCGTTGTAGATAACGAATATCAAAACTGTACAAGCTAGAAAAAAATTTAAAAAAAAAACAATATAAAAGTTTATTATAATTAATAAAATAATATATACTTATAATCTTCATTAGCTGTTGTAAATACAAATGCTTCAAGTGGATTCCATGCAAGAGTACTAGAATTCATTTGAAGTGTAATCTAGAAACAAGAAAAAAGAAAAGGTTTAAGTTATTTATTAATGAAAATTCTAATATTATGCTACTTTTCGTAATGGTACTGATTGTCTTGTATCATAAAGAATTATACTTCGATCAGTAGCACAACTGGCAAGAACAGTAGTCTAAATTAAAATAATACATTAGTTAACAGTAATTCTTTAGATTTACAAAATACGGTACTACTACAATTTATTCACATTATTATTCTCATCATTCTAAAAATTGCTGCATAAAAATTACTAATCGAATGTAACAATGTGACTAAACTGTAGAAGTATCACAAATAACATTGAAAATCTTTAAAAAAAACAAGAATACTAATAATTTTCAACTTACTTCAATTGGATTAAATTTGACTCTAGCATGACTGTCAGCACCCCATTGAAAAGATTGAAGAGGTTGTGCACGTTGTTCATCCCATAATGATACATTTTCACCACTAGTAGCATATTGTGCATTTTTATAATGATGATCAATTGATGTAAATACATGCTAAAAAGAAATCCAAATACATTCTCTCTCTCTCTCTTTAAAAAGACGTTAATATTTTAATATACTTTTCCAACAATTGTCATTGTTGGTGTATCATAATTATCCATTGACCATCGTTTGATTAATTTATCATTACCAACTGAATAAAAAGCCGTACCATCAGGTATAACACATATACCTCTAACAAATCCATTATGTGCTGATATTGTTTCTTGACATGTTCTTTGCGCAACATTCCAAATTTTAATCTAAATAAAAAATTTTTTTATTTCTTAATAAAAATAATTTTTTTAAATTTTTATTAAATTACTTCTCCATCACATGAACCGGATAGAAGTAATGAAAGTTGTGTTGAATGTTTTGCTAAACATTGTACACTATCACGATGTCCATCTAAACTACATATAAACGGTCGAGCAAATATGCGTTCCATTTTAACAGCATTCATTGCACGAGTATATTCACGTGCTACTTCAAATGGATGAAGATCCGGATCATAATTTCGTTGAACTGGTACTATATCTTTTTTTGTCTCACGGACATAATCCGCTGGATTTCGACATAGCATTTTTATCTTCATCGTGTCTAAAATAAAATATTATTTTAGCAAAAAAAGAAAAAAACGATTATTTGATTTGATCGATCAAGTTTACATGAGTCATTCAGCAATGCTAAACGTTCATATGAGAACGAATTAGTATTTAGTATTATTAGCGACATTTTATTTATTCATTTTGTTGCTTTTTTTTGAGTAATAATTTAATAAAATAATTTAAAATAAATTTTTCGAAAAAAAAAGAAACTTTCAATTTTATATAAATAAATAATTTATTTTCATTATATTTCAATGCTTTTTTATAAGGTTAAATATGGATATCGTATCGACTTGTTTATCATTTAATTGTCCATATTTTTGTTTGATTATCACTAGAAAAGAAAATTAGTAATTTATCTATATATAAATTTTTTTTAGATTTTCCATTCATCTCATATTTGAACCATCAATATGCCTAAAGAAATCAAAGATATTAAGGATTTCTTACTCATTGCTCGACGTAAAGATGCTAAATCAGTGATTATTAAACGTAATCCTGAACATGGTACACGGCAAGGAAATACCAAATTCAAAGTACGATGTAGCCGTTATTTATATACATGTATGTTTTATCAATGATTTTTTTTTTGTTATTAACTAATAATTCGTTCATTTTGATGTTTTATCTTTTTTAGTAATTGTGGCCGATAAAGAAAAAGCTGAAAAAGTCAAACAATCATTGCCACCTGGTCTTAATGTAAAAGAAATTAAACCAAAAGGCAAAAGTACATAATAACAACGGCAGTTGAATTACAAAATATGCACAAAAAAAAGAAGAATTTTGTTCCATCGTTGGTTTTCTTTTGCGAACTTTGTTCAAATTTAAGACAAATAAAATCGCAGAAAGAAAATTAATAGAAAGAAAAAAAAACCTAGAATGATTGTTCTTTTTTTGTTATTTACATTTTATTAATAATCTTCTAGATGAAATTATCGATCATTTTTCTAGTCACATTTATTAGCGCAATAATATTAGTGCCTCATAGAGTCAACAGTTTATTTGAAGATCAAGTAGGCAAATTTGATTGGTAAGTAAAACAAGAAAGTCTTCTCTTTTTTTTTCGTTTAAGAAAATGGAATATTGGTAATTTTTTTTTCTGTATATAACCAAAAATTGTTCATTAATGAGTCTCTTTCTTTGCCTTGTCACTTGTACTACAATGAAAAATCGAAAAAAAGAAAGTTCAAAATAGATTAGAATAGAAATTTGGGTTTATAAATGCGTGATATATCATACAGAACCGATAATAGTGAAGAATCATATAAGTTTAATGAAGCAAAAGTGAGAAAAAAAAAGAATATAAGTTACAATAAATTTAGTGTATTCGCCTTTAATATTCAATTTTGTAAGTCTTTTTCTAATAAGAGGAAATAAAATGATGGTATTGTTAGTATTTATTCATAATCACAATGTAATCGAAGCAGTTAGTAGATTAAGAAACTGATTGAAAAGAACATCTACAGGGAATAGTATTTTTCTTTGTTGTTCAGATAATTGTGATGACATTTCGAGAATTTGATATTTGTGAAATTCTCATAGGAATAGTCAGAATTTGTGGTCTTTTTTAATTTTCTATTTGTTTTTTTAGGCATCGTCAACATGTTGGTTTCATAGATGATTCTCATCAACCTTCCGCTAGTACAAATCGTTTGATTATTTCCAGTCAAGATAATGTTGTTGCTTCGCTTGATTTATCTGCACGAAAAATCGGTAATTATCTATTTCTGTCCTTTTATTTTTTTTCTGTAACTAAAGAGAGCACAGACAAAAACACTTTATAACCAAAAAAAAACAACAAAATGTTATTTAACGAAAAAAGGAACCATTGCCATAAGGTGTAGCACATGGATTCATGCACATAACAGGTGAACCAGCCATATAACGTTGTTGATTCATCATTACAGGTGAACCAGCCATATAACGTTGCTGATTCATCATTACAGGTGAACCAGCCATATGACGTTGTTGATTCATCATTACAGGTGAACCAGTCAGATGACATCGCTGATGCATCATGGCGGGTGAACTAGTAGTCCAACGTTGACTATGAGTAACTGAATTCTCGACCATAGTAGGACTTGGAGGAGGTGATGGAACAGGAACACCAACAGGAATATAGCATGGAACTGGAGAAGGAACTGGGACGGGGACTTGAACTGGAGGTGAAGGAACTGGAACAGGGACCCGAACTTGAATTGGAGGTGAAGGAACTGGAACAGGGACTGGGACTCGAATTGGAGGTGAAGGAACCGGTACTCGTACAGGAACAGGCACTGGTCGATCGACATATACCGGTGATGGAACTGGCACAGGTACAGGTCGATCAACAGGTACTGGTCTAGGTACTTCAACAGGATACGGTTGAGGTACAGGACGATCGACAGGAAAAGGAACAGGAACAGGTTCTCGAATATAGCGTGGTGGCGGAGCAGGAATTAAGTCAACTTGTCGTCGTTCAGCAATATAATAATCTGGAGCATATCCTATACTGCCACGAGCACCACCATATGGTACAGCTGGTGATGGACCGGGATATGCCCCTCCATAATCACAATCCATTGGACCGCCTATTCCAGTTCCATAAGGTGGTCTCGCCATACCATCAGCATGTGGATAACCCATTGGACCTTGTCGATAATTAAGAAAACTGCTATGCCCACCAGGACTACCAGCTAAATTATCCGAAGCATAATTTCCTACACCACCGTAAGCTAAACCGTGTTGACTTGAATGATAAAAACCGCTATTATATTTACTATTCATTGGTCGATGAAATGCTGATCCAGAATTTAAATGCATATAACCTGATCCCGATCTTTCAAGACCACAATCATCATCATCACCAGTTGAAAAACGTCGTTCTAGACGTTCACCAAATCGATTTAAAGCATCAACAGTTTTTGTAACGACTCGATCCATCGATGATTTGATTGTATTTGTTGTGATCGTTATTTTGTAACTATCATTAATGTTGATAGGTAGTTAGTTTTTATATACAAAACTAAATGAATAATCTATGAATAGTGACAGGTTGTAGGTGGCGAGGGTGAAGAATAAGAAAAAAACAGATTTCTTTGAAGCGTGACGAAAATCGTATGAATTACTCATTTTCTTCTTATCTGATTAAACACTAATTTTTAGGATGGCGAAAAGTTTTTGAAGCTAATGAATATGGAAAAATTGATCGAATTATTTGGTATGATCAAGAAAGTGTTATTGTTACAGGACAAGGTAGACGTGTACGTGCATTGAGATATGCTGATGGTCTTGAAGTATGGCAATTAGCAGCAACATCAACAACTAATTCCAATCAAGATTGGAATTCTAAATATTGTCAAGTTATTAAAAATCTATTTGATCCTGGTAAGTTTTTTTCATTTTTATTATTCATAACAAGATAATATCGCTGATTAATTTTATTGGTTCTTGTTTATGTTTATACACACGTTAATTAGTGAGTCATTTAAGTACATTTTGTTTTCTCCTATATTACACTATTGAAACATAATGTGTAACAAAATTTAATAATTATTAAGAAATTATTTGAAAATAAAAATAAATTAGTACAATTTGTTTAAAGATTTCCAGATAATTAGTTTTTGAAACATGACAATCAATTGTTTCCAGTTGAAAAAATTCTTCTATTATCATTAGACGCATCATTTGAGACATTCTATCTGGTCATAGGAATCTCTATTAAACTAATTGAATCAAATGATAAGAAAGATTCTTTTCATTGTAAAGGGCCAAATTATAAATTTACGATTAATTTCATATCGTAGAATGTGTTGATAACAAAATAATTAATTTCTATTGTTAATGATCTTTTATTTTTAGGTACAATTCATATTCTAAGTAATGACCTTCTATGGAGTGTATCATCCTATGGTGAAATGCTCTGGTCAATCACCCTTCCAACAAAGTAAATATTTAATTTCAGTCTTAATACCAAATTAATATTTCTTTTTTTTTTTTTTTTTATTAAAGATCAACGTTAAAAAATCTTTTTCTTCTATCAACATCACAACATGTTATTGTTGGAAGTATTGATTCAAATATAAATCAACTTCAAATAACTTATTATTCTAAACAAAATGGTGTTCAATCATTTTCTTCATCAATGCCATGGTCATTTAATTTTGATGATAGTCGAAAGTAAGATTTTTTTTTTTTAATTTTGTTTTTTTCAATTAAAAATAAAACATAAAATTAACTTTATTCATTTTCTTTTAATAGTAAATGTACAACAACGAATAATCTTATTTTATGTTCAAATAATAATGAACTTTCAATAATTACAATTCCAACAACAATGAATGATACAAATATAATTACAAATAATATAAAAATTCCAAATACAATCGAACAAATACGTGTTTTATATGAAAGTAATACACATAGTATTTTATCAATAAAAATGATAAATTTTGAAACAAAAATTTATCAATTTAATAAAAAAGAATCAACAATAGAATGGGAATTTCATGAATTAAATATTCAAATAAAATCTAATGGTTTTTATAGTATTATTACAGAAAAAAATCTTGTTGGACAACAAATTCTTGAAGCATCATCAAATGAACAAAAACTTAATTTTTATGTTTCAAATATAAATGAACAAACTTTATCAAATACACGTTCATATTCAATTTTACTTCCAGAAAATATGGGTGAAATTGAATATATTGCATATTCAATCGTTAAACATACACAATTAGTCACACTTAGAATGCAAGATGCTTCTTTACTTGTTATTAAATTAGCTGATAATGGAGGTAGGTACAAATTGTAGATTTACAAAATCCAAAATGCACATCATAACAAAGATAATCTTGTTTTGTATACAGATGTATTTCAAGATCGTGCATCTCCCTAGAGACATTTTATTCTTGATCTCGAACTACTGACGAGGGAACTATTCGAACTAATGTCTATCGTTTGAACTTTGAATCAGCCTACAGGGACGCCTTGGTGAGACTAACAGAAGTCTAAAACAAAGAGTTCGTCCTCATAGATATTTGTAGACGAATTATGATCGTTTTATTGAATTTTTGACCCAAAATTTCGTCCATAGATAGGTTGAATGACCCTTAGAATGTTCTGAAAGTTTCAATCGAAATATTGCATTTTCAATTAAACTCGACTTTTGTATCAGATCTACGGTAAGCGAACATTTTTTAGAAATTTCATATCTCAACAAAACAGCATTCTTTTAGGCTGAAATTTTCAGGGTATTCTATAAATTATTAGACCCATCTATGAGCGAAATTTCATGTCGAAAATTCTGATTTTTTGATTCTTCAGTATACAACTAAAGCTGGTTCGAAAATTCAGTAAAACGATAAGAACTCCACTTCAAAAGTTCATGGGGTGAATCTTTTCCGACTTTTGCTAGTCTTAGCAAGGTATACTTATAACTTCAAACGGCGAGTTTAATCTTTTTCGATATGTAATAACACTTATTTAAAAAGATTCTAATGATCTTCTTGTTATTAGCTGAACTAATTCTACATCGTGATGAAGCATTATCTTCAATAATATCTGTTGAAACATTTGATTTATCATTATCAATTGGACAAATGCGTATTGAAGAAGAATTTGGTGGCACAGGAGTATTTAGTATGTTTGCAAGACGAATTACAACACAATTATCTCAATTAATTGTAAATATTATTTAAAAATTAAATTAAAATCATTGTTAGATTTCATTTTATTTTAGAGTTTTGTGCTACGTTTAATTGATTTATTTACACATGGAAATCGAAATCGTGCTTACATGGATAAACAAGCTGCAACAATTCGTGATGAATTTAATTTAAATAAAATTCTTATTGTTGTTACATCTGTAGGAAAGGTAATTATTTATTTATTTATTTTTGTAAGAAAAAAATTTATTTATTTATTTATTTTATTTTATTTAAAGGTTTTTGGTATTTTAACACAAAGTGGTGGTATTTTATGGAAACATTATTTTAATAATTTTGCACCATTTCAACATTTTAATACAGTTCAAGTACCTTTATTTCATATTCGTTCAGCTGCTCATTATACACATCAACCATTAGCATCAATTGTTTATCGTGATCGAGTAAAAAGAAGAACAAAAAAACAAAACCCATCTTTTTTATTTAAATTATAAATTTCATATTTAGAATTCTTTACATGAAACACATGTACAAACATTTAATCCATATACAGGAGATTTAGATAATACATTAAGTACATCATCATTACCATATCGTATAAAACATGTTTTTCTATCAACACAAATTGTTGATGAATTTTGTAAAGTATTATTATTCGTCGATACAAATAATAAAGTTTGTTTCTTCAATAAAACCAAAAAAAGTAAAATAAAATAAAATTTTATATTATATATATATATAGATACATACATATCCATCAGTACCACTCTCACGTGCATTAAGTACGCAAATTCCAACATATATTTATTTATTTGATAAAAATGAACAAGTATTTATTGGTTATTATTTATCGATTAATGAAAATGATCAACAAAGTGTAAGTAAAAAATTTTAGTTGAATGTCATTAGGTTTATGATTAATATTTGAAAGTGATAAGGATCGAATCTAATTGAGGGAAAAAGAAAAAATGTTCGATGATGTATATGAAGTTTGACGATTCAGAATTGAAATTATTGAAGATAAAAACTTTTATATTTGCACGCTAAAATAGCTGAGAACATTTTTATTTTATATATTTAGTCAACAAATTTAAAAGAAGTATGGCGTGTTTTATTTCAAAATGAAGAAGTTATTAATATACATACTCGATCAAGTTCAGGTAAATTAAAATAAGTTTTTATTTCATTAATGAAAAAATAAAAATTCGAAAATTTTATTTTATTTTATTTTATTTTATTAAGATCGTGTTCATTCTGCTGGTATTGTTCTTGGTGACAGAAGTGTTCTTTATAAATATACAAATCTAAATCTTATTGCTGTTGTCACAGAAGGAATTGATTATCAAAAAGGTATTAATTTAGATTTAATTTTTTTTTTTGAAAAAGATGATTAACAAAGAAATCTTTTATCATATCATTTATTGATTTTAAGCATCTTTTGATAGTTAATAAAAATTTAATCATTGACATGATCAGCATACTTGAAGATATTCATCTCTTTTAAATATTGTCATTAAAAAATAGCTGCGAAAATCAGGCGTTATGCACAAGCACCAAGATGAAAAGAAATTCATAAGAAAATATCTCATACGGGTAGTGTAAAAGACAACTATATGTTTCACGGCGATTTTTGACCTCAGAACAGAAAATATGTAGGTTAGTAGAGCAAAATTTCGCCCATCTAATAGTCTATATATAGTTAAGTGCTAAGATATCAATAGAGAGCGCTACCTATTGACCATTCAGCGATTCGCAATAGAACTGCATAATACATCCCCCATTAGGTAGAGGAAATCTTTATCTACACACTTGTATATATCTTATTCGTAGATCAAAGTCTTATAGTCGTTGTAATGAATTATTTTCCATTATCGGACGGACATAGATTCCTGCCCTCACTTAAACTAACGAGGGAATATTTCTAGATGTTTATTCACTTTTAAGACAGGACTTCGTGCATCTTATAGACATGACGTAAGTGAACTATGTCTACCATAAAAAGAGTTCATTCCCATGACTTGCTTCTGAGAAGGTCGAACATTTTCTAGTCAGTTTTAGCTGTAGGATCCTACATTCACAGCATGACAATTTTTCTGAATTCCGACCTAAAACTTTGCTCAAACGAAGACGTCAATGAGACTAACTTGTATAAAAAAATTTCAGAAATTTCAGATTGAATCTCTTCGAAATATGGAACTTTTGAGATATAAGCTTTTTCTTTCATAGATACTATATACAGCATGTATTTTTTTGAGAGCTTCATATGTCGGAGAGACTTAGTTCAACAAGTCTTAAATTTTTTATGTAAGCCAGTCTAATTGATGTTTTTATGTTAGCAAAGTTTGAGTTTCAAATTTTGAAAAAAATGGTCATGCTGCAAATAATATACCCTACAGGCGAAATTCAATAAAAAGCACTTGACTTCCTCAGAAATACTCTCCATATTTCAAATTACTTTTCGACTGAGACGATGTGCATTTTATGAGTATTAGTGAGTAATAGAGAAATCTACAATGGCTTGTTTTTCAGAACTTTCATTCTCGAGATATCGAAATTTTATTAGACTTTTCAACAAAAAACAGTCATCCTTCTTACGTCACATAGAAAACAGACTTTTGACTTCAAACTTTGCACGAACGAAGTTCTTAATGAGATTAGTTGATTGTAAAACTCGTATTTCCTTTCAGGAGGTATAACAAAATTTGCTTTTACTCATAAGAGAATTTTGAATATTGAATAACTCGAGATAGGAGATACCAGAAAAATTACAGCTTACCCAATGAACTAATCTCATTGATACATTTGTTCATGCAAAGTTTAAAGTTGTGACCTGAGGAGTACCACAGCTTTTTTTTGAAAAATCCAGTAAAATTTCGAGAATGGAGGCTCGGAAAAGCAACTCACTCTAGACTTTTCTATTGCTATCTAGCATTCATCAAGTAAACATGATCTCGGTCGAAAGGCGATTTGACAGAGCTAGAGAAGTTTTCGTATTAGCTGAATGCTTTTCAATATATGACTAGATCATTACAGTCTATTAATTTTCAGAAGATCAATAAAAATCATAAAAGAAAAAACTTCAAAAAAAGATCTTTTATTAAATAAAAAAAAATAAAATTTATTATTATTTATCTAGTTCCATTCATAAATATTTATCTATTGGATACTGTTACTGGTTCATTAAAACTTTCTCATACACATAAACGTGTCAAATCACCAGTACATGTTATTCTTGCTGAAAATTGGATAATCGTAAGTTTAAAAGTAAAATTATGATAACAAAAAAAAAAGAAAAGAGTTTTTTTTTCTTAGTATACGTATTATAATCAACGTTATCGTCGATATGAAGCCGTCAGTTCATCATTATTTGAAGGGCCAGCACAGTATAATTATTCAACATTTTCATCATTTGATCCCATTGAACCAGTTGTACAATCAAAAGCATATATATTACCATATGGTGTCAATGCTATTCAAGTAACAACAACTGAAAAAGGCATAACATCAAGAGATATAATTAGTAAGTCAAGATAGTAAATGTAAACAAAACCAATGAATAATATCAAATTCTAGTGGCAGCACCTAATGGAATGCTTATTGAAATACCTTGGATATTGTTTGATCCTCGACGACCACTTGATTTAACACCAATGGACAGGTAAAGAACAAAAAAAAAATTTTGTAATAACAAATAAAACTTAATTATAGAGAAGAAGGTTTGATAATGTATACGCCAGAGATAATGGTTAATTTTGAAAGCGTCATTAATTATTATAAGTATGTTTATAATATTCGTGGTATTCATACAGTTGCTACTGGTCTTGAATCAACATCTATCGTATTTGCGTATGGTCTTGGTATGTCATAATAATAAACAAGATTTTGTTTATAAAATAATAAATCTTATTTTGTTTTTTAAATTTAGATCTTTTTTTTACTCGTGTTTTTCCATCACGTGTATTTGATCAATTAAAAGATGATTTTGATTTTATGTTTATTGGTTGGTCAACAGTTGCATTTGTTGTTGGTTCATTTATAGCAAAACGTTTTGCTGCTATTCACCAAACAAAAAAAGCTTGGAAATAAATTCTTACAATCATTCCAAATCGACTTTTAAAAACAAACAAACCATAAGAAAAGTATTTGTTCTTGCTATGTTTTTTGTTTTCTTTTTTGTGTTAATGTACAGCGACAGATTTTCACTGGTAGTTTAAGATTTTACAAAAAACAAAAAAGAATTCTACTACTAACCAATTTCTGTTTCTGGATCTATTTCGTTTTTTCTTTGTAATGTGTGTTCGTTGATGAATCTCGATAGACAGAACATGACCGTATTGATAAACATCGTTTGATTAATAAGATAACAATTAAATACGAAGAGAGATGAGATGATCTGTTTAATTGAAATTTGTTATTTGAATTTTACATTTTTATAGTTTCAAATAAAATCTATTTGATTTGATATCGATATTAAATTTAGATTTTTTTTTTGTTTTTATTTTAGATATATTGATAAGAATTATTGTTTCTGTTAAGGAAACGAATAGATTATCTTTTCTATGCGAATGTCAATTTACATCCGGTGTCGATTCGTTATCTTCTTCTTTTTATTTAGCTTTTCTATATGCCAAGAAAATTATTGTTGACATGTCTCCAGGACTTGAATCATGAGTTTCTTCAAGGATCTTCATTAGGAAAAAAAGATCAATGATCACCAACTTGTCAGTTTGAGATAACAATGAAATTATTTTTCTTTCATCAAGAGTAAGAAAGTCTTTTATTCCTTTATTGTGATTGGTAATATTTCTTAGAATAAGTTTCTAATTAAAAACACGAGAAGTGTAAGACGTTTTGATGTATGTATGAAAAGGAAATTTGAGTCAAGTCTATTAAGATAAGTTTTCAAATTGAGTTTCCATTTTCTATCTATTACTTGTTCTGTTATCGATGTTAACAGAAGATTTCATCGAGAATTATTTTTCTAGGTATAAATATTTGCTATTATTTACATTCTAGTATCTCTCATAGTAGAAGGCCATCATTTTTATTTATTGAAAATAGTCATAATATTTTAAAAAAATCAAGGCAAACGTAGGTTTCTGTTGTTCTACTCATTATATTACATTTATTTTTATTCTCGCTCTGCTTATTCTGTAGAATGTCAATATTAAGTTTGGTTTTGCTTTCTTTTTTTTCTTTCGCTCGTTTTCTTCATTTGCTTGTTATGTTTGATGACAAACTAATATTGATATCGATTATATACGATTCGATTATATCAAATGAATGAATAAACGGAACGTGAATGACAAGTGAAAGAGAGAGAGAGAGAGAGAGAGAGAGAGAGGGACATCTCAACAAGTATTATCATCGTAAAAGATCGTTATTTCTATAGTTAGTATTATTATCATCATCATCCTCGTCGCTGCTGTTGTTGTTGTTGTTCTGTTGAAGCATACAAAAAGAGTATTATACTCTGTTGCAGTCTATCATCAAAACTCGACGCCCACACATATTACTGAAACCGATTTTCTTCTTTCTTTCGTCCTTCCTACAATAGTCTTCTTTCTCCGATCGATCGAATCAACGAAGTGTCTGACTGGTTGACTCACCGACGACTACGTACAAAGGTCGTCATTCTCTTTTCCTGCTTCTACTACCATCGGCGATGGTAGCAACTATTATTATTTTTTTCTCTTCTACCGCAGATGGCTAGAGTATATATTTGATTTATGTCGTATGTGATGGTGCGAATATGCCTTCTGTGCACATTACTACCTTGAATCTTCTGATGGGATTGATATAAATACAGAATAAAAACGAAAAAGTGAAGGTTTGATGATTACTTTTTTGAAATTCTTATCGAGAAGAAGACGAAAAAGTTTTGATGTATATACTCGGTTTTTTTCTTCTCTTTCTGATTTAAATTGGCCATATTAATTTAACGATTCTTTTGCTACATATTATTATATTCAACGTAAGTATAAGTGATGACAATATATCCTCAAGCGTTTCCTATTCATAGTGACGAGGTTATTTTTACTTTTATCTCTTCCGTATTTAAACAAATGTTGGTGAAAAAAAAAAAAAAAGAAAAGAAATAGTTCCGGATTTTTTCTTCCTCGATCCAAGGAAATATCGACCAAATGTGCAATGATCGATTTGATTAGAGAGAGAGAGAGAGAGAGAGAGAAAGAAAGAAAAACAAAAAGAGAAGAAAAATTGTTTCGAAGACACACCTTATGAAAAGTCACCATGTAATACTAAATAAAAAAGAAAGAAAAAACCTAAGCGTATTCCCTAGGCGATCATATATCTCTTATTCTCATTTTTTTCCTTTCGTGTTTCTTTTTGCCTCTTGATTGAGCAAGGACACAAGGTAATATTTATGATCATATAACGTTTTCTATTCGTCTTTGTTTGTAGATAACAAAACTTCCATTATATTTGATGATGATGACGTTCATCAAGTATCTTACTCTTTTTCCTACTAACAATATCCAACGTCAACGGTATTGAACAACAACATCCTCGTCATCATCATCATCACCATCCTAGATCGAGAAAGCAAATATAAACTCTTAAGTTATCTCTCTTTCGGTCGCTCTTTTCTTGTCTAATTACGTAAGTGATTCTTCTTCTTCTTCGTCTTGTTCTATCACTAGAAGAATAATGATGTTTCTCTCATTCATACATATACATCTATATATATATATATATAAATGTTTATATAGAGCACAATGGGTAATATTGATAGTCGAAATGAACGATTTTACAATCTTTGTGGTTTGGGCAAAGCACATTTAATTGAAAAAATGTTAGAAAGTGATCGAACACTAAATACAATCAATGTTAATTGGGTTGCATTTGAAACACAATCAACACCCTTACTTATTGTAATCAATATATATTTATATATATTTTTCATTATTTTTTTCGTTATTTTTATTCTAGGCTTCAGCGAATGGACATGATCTTGTTGTTGATGTTTTACTACGAAATAATGCAAAAATAGCTATAAAAGATGCTCGACAAGCGACAGCACTTCATCATGCTGCTCAACGTGGCTATACTGAAATAGCTAAAAAGCTTCTACATGCTGGAAGTGATGTTAATGCTCGAGGTTGGTGCATTGGATATTTAGTTCTTTTATTTCTTCTTCTTACTTTTTTTTAATAATTAATTAACATATCTTAGATAAACTCGGTTGGACACCATTAATGAAAGCATGTTATTTTTGCAATCCGGATATTATTTTAACATTATTAGAAGCCGGTGCCGATATTGATGCTGAAACTGAACAAGGTCGTACAGCACTTCACGAATTATGGTATATTAAAAATAAAAAATTATTTTTATTTAAAATATACAACAAAAAATATGATTTTATTTTAGTCGATCACCACCACGATCGAATTCGTCATCATCATTATCATTAGTAAATAATGGTGGAGCAGACAATGAAGCAACCTTAGCTGAAATCGCTTGTATGTTAATTGAAGCTGGAGCTGATGTTAATAAAACTGACCATGATCATTTTACACCATTAATGTATGGTATGTTAAATTTTAAAACAAATATTTTTCTTAAAAAAAACCAAAAAAAAACATTTTTTTTGTTTTTTTTAGCTGCTTTTCATAATCATCCAAGTGTTGCTCTTGTTTTACTTGAATCAAATTGTGCAGTTAATAAAACTGATAAGCAAGGTTGGACTGCACTTCATTGGGGTATTGATCGTGATCATCCGGAAATAGTTCAATTATTAATTGATAAAGGCGCTCGTACAGATATTCTTAGTCATCGTGGTGAACCAGCTGCATCAAGAGTAAAATCTATTCGTGTTAAAGATATTGTTAAACATATTAAACGTTATTCAACGTTATCATTATCTTTAACTGATATGAACAATATTCTTCATCATGGGCATTCACCATTAAGTTTATCACCAACAGAGATTGAAAAATTAAAAAAATTTACTTCTAGTATGTCGATGACAAATGTCGAAAATACTAAACCATTAATCTCATCAACATCAGCTACACGAGTCTTAAGTTCAACAGACGTTTAATAATTATGTTTTATGTGTTTTGCTATTGATTTATTATTTTATTTTCTCTGTATCTTTTGCTTGTTTCTTCGGTTTTGTGTGTGTGTGTGTGTGTGTGCGTGCGTGCGTGAACTTGTATGCATCGTTCAGTAGAATAGAAAAAAAAGAAACAAAGAAATTAACTTTAAAAAAAATTATGACAAGAATATTCAGTATTTAGGTGAAATTAGAAATATTTAGGATGAAAATTTTTTTTTCATTTTCGGTTAATTTTAAAAGAATGTCATCATTATATATGCTGCGTTTTTTTTCTATTAAAATTCAAATTCTATTAAAATAAATGATAAGACTTAAAAAAACTCTTTGATAATTTTATCTGTAGACATTTAGATTGTGGACTATGATATTTATTTATAACCATACTTTTGTCTTTTCTTATTGGTATTTTATATATCGTCTAGATATTTGTTATTTATTTCTATGAAAGAAAAAAGAATAAATGTGTACGTATGTATATTTACCAAATTTATTGATAAACCTTGTTGAAAGGATTGCATTAATAGTGTTTATTCACTGTCTTGTATTTTATTCAATATCATGATTATCTTATAGAAGATATTTTTGCCCTTCTCTTTTGTTTAGTCAGGCATCTTGTATCTATTTATCAGTTATGTTTTGCCTTGAGCAATAGTCAGATGGAAATATTTAATTAATATTCAAGGACAATAGATTTTATCAAATTGAGATATCACGAAATGTATCGAAGTTTTTTTTTAATTAGATTTGTATTGGTAGTATGCTACCAAAAAAGAAACCAATAATGTAAAATAAAATTCATGAAACCTATTCGAACATAATAGATTATTCGTAATTGAAAATTTTCTTCTACAACTTGAAATGTTTGGTTTTTTTCTAATCTAGGTCATCATACGATCATTGTATGAAAGTCAATATTTAAATGACATATCCTTCGAGAATGTAATGCCCTTCTTTTTTCTCTGATTAAAGTAATCATAATAGGATTTTTGTTTTACAACTTTCGGAAGCGTTATGTCAGAAACTTAACTTTTCGTAACTATAGATACCTGTTGCTTCATCTGACCTTTATGACAAATTCTAAAATTAATTCACAAAATTATGCATTAGTGAAGTTTCTACATTTACGATTTGATAATGTCGAAGAAGATAAACAGCAATTTCTAAATAGGGATGCACCAATTCCTGATTTTTTTTATGTTAAAGATCATGTATATATGATACTTACAACAGTCAAAATGAGCCAATGTTGATTGTTGTATGTGATGTATATTGTCGTATTTAACTAAATAAGTAACATAAATCTACGATCTTTGATGTAAAAAGAAACGAAAATTGGTGTATCCCTGCTACTTAAGTTGTTCACTACGGAAAATAATTCGTTTTCAAGACTTTTCAGCAATAACTGAAACGTAGGATATATTCTCAAGATCATGCCAACCATTAATTATAGATCTTCAATAAAGAATTATTGTCAAAAGATGTTGTACATTTATTTAGATATATACAATACTTTCTACCACCGATGTAAATGACTTTATTAATAGTTACACATATAAGATTTATTGGTTATTTACAGCATAATATTTGTATAATAAATTACTTTTGATTTCTTCTCAACATTAAAATTTTAAAAAATTAATATTCATTTATACTCTTCATTTAAAAGTAAAGTTTCTATTGTAAAAAAATTACCTGACCAATTGAACTAATCGCATGACCATAAGAAATCTATCTTTATAATTTGAATCTTTCGTCGCTGTCTACTAATATGTTGACACGCATTTTTACAAACAAATTTTTCCTATCGTGTTGATAGATATGACATGACAACATATTTCTGTTTCACTATCACATTATTCAATTATTTCTTCAATTTGTCTCATTAGGCATCAACGACAAAGAAAAATGATTATTATCATGTGAACAAAAAACAAATTGTTCATCATGATTTTTCTGACATTTTGTTTAATGATCTTTCACTTGTTATATCATCATGGTTTTTTTATGATATAGCTTGTTTGAATAAGATGATAGTTACGGTTTATTTAAGAGATGATTGAAAATTTTCTGGATCACTAAACAGAATCAAAACATAAACAGTATAATAGATATTTGTTATGTCTTTTATAGATTTGTATGATTCGTTTATTTTCTCAAACAACAAAAACATTAATCATTAAATTAACATTACGTATGTCTTCTACTGATCAATCAAATCGACTTCATTCATTCGGTACTAATGAAGAAGATCCAATCTATGAAGCAACTGTTCATTCGATTAAAAGTCTTTCTCCATCGATCAAACAATTTTATCTTTCAATTAATGATCCATTGAAAACATTTCATTTTCAATCTGGTATGTTTCTTGATTTTTATCTTTCACCAACAATAACATCGATTATAACTGGATATTCAATTTGTAATTCGCCATTAAATTATACTAAAACAAATCTTATTGAATTAGCAATTAGAAAAACTGATTATCCACCAACAAATTATATGTTTAATAATTGTCAAATTAATGATAAAATTAACATTAAACCTGGTGGAGATTTTTTTTATCAATCATCAACAACAAATAATGATTCAATTCTTCTTATTTGTGCTGGTATTGGAGCTAATCCAATTGTATCTATTCTTCGACACATTTTCGATTTATATTCTTCGAATAATTCACAAATAATTCCACATCGTGTAGAATTTTTTTATACAGCAGCTACAAAACAAGATCTTGTATTTCGTGATAGTATCAATTTATCATGTGAACAAATGATAAAAGATAACATGCTGAAAACGAATTATTTCGTTACAAAGGAAATTAATGATGACAGCAAAATAAACAATCGACGTATAAATACAATGGATTTAAAACAAGCTATTCAATGGCTTGAAAAACCTGTTACCGCTTATATATGTGGTCCATCGCCATTTATTGATTGGACAGAAAATGTTTTAAAAGAACTGAATGTAAAAAAAATTCTATACGAAAAATGGTGGTAATCCTTGTTGTTTTTTGAATAAATAAAAAATATCATAAATGATTTTTTTTATTCTACATACTATATCTGATATAATAGATATTGACTAATCAATGACAACTGTTTTAGTTGTATCGATCAATTTTTTTTACGTGTTCAATCAAATGAACATTTGTAAAAAAATTTGTTCTCACTTTTTTTTGCAAAAAGTACGATGAAGTATTAGTTTAATGTAACAGAAAGGAAAAACTTTGATGCAAAGCTTCACTGGCACTTAACTTTCTTTTTCTTTTCTCTTTTCTTACTCATATATACTCATTTTCTATGCACCACTATAACTAATTTGAAAGTTGTTACCCCCCCTTTTTTTTTGTGTTCTTCCATTTTCAGACTTTTTCTTTTTTTTTTTATAGAAGAAAGAGAACTGTGCATTCATCTATTTTATCATATCTTTAGACATTCATGCATCAAGGTTTCTTTTTCTTCATTTTTTTTATATCTTCCTATTCTTCATCAGTAGTATTAAAAAAAAGAAGAAACGAACAAAAAGAGTAAGAGTCAACTAACCGGTCAGCGATGTTAAGACAGTATTCATCATCGCTATAATAAAAGCAGAAAGACAAGACGGTTTCTTTTCTATATAGAGCGCTTTATTATTTTTGTTCGTGTCTTTATTCCCTTGTTCCTCTTCCATCTGTTCTCTTAAATGTTGCCAACAGACATCGAGTGAGCTGAGAAATAAACAAACATATTCTTGAACAACGTATCATCTTCTATATTATGCAATAAAACATAGCATGAGTCAAGCTAGTTATCGACAATCTTCATCAAACGTCGATCATTCTGATGCCCATATATGAGGCAATTATTCTGTTGGATCAATACAGCAGCTGTCACCTTTTACACAATCAATAACATACATTTTTTTCTTATTTCTTTTTTCATCTCATCAGTCCAATAGTCTCGTTAATATATATATATATATGTATATATATAAAGAAAACCTGTGCTTTTCTTTTTCTCTTTTTCTTTTATTTTTTTCTTTGATCTTGAAATTGACGAGTTTGATCATCAATTATACATATTAACAAAACAAGAAGAATAGTGCGATGTGCTTTTCTTCCATTCATATTGATTGACAAAGAAACGAAGTTTTTCCCTAAGGTATGAATTTTCGATATAATTGATAAATGCCTGTAAAAAAAAAAAGAAAGAGAAGGGAAGTTAGTCTTTCCAGACTTCTTTCTCTTGACTGATTCTAGTCACAGACAGACGCCTGTATCGATAAGAATAAAAGAGGAAAGAAATCGAGAAAGTTACTAGAGCGGAAACAATTTCTTGTCGAGCGACCAAAAAGTAACATGTGGAGAACGATGTAGAAGATGACGAACGGACCATACACAGAAAATCTACGATTAATGGGCAAAGGAACATAGTTGGTAGTGGTTACAAGAGAGAAGAAGTAGGCACGTCGAATATTTATTATCATTATGAATGATAAATACTAGACATGCAGGGGTGAGAGAGAGAGAGAAAGAGAGAGAAAGAAAAGCACCACATCTCTTATTGCTCGTCTTTTTCTTTAATATAACCAGAAGGCAAGAACAAACTTCCACCTTCTTATTCTTTCTGTGTTTCGCTTTGATAAAATGTGTGAAGTCGTTTGTTTCCTATTCAACAGGTAGTGCGTGCGTGTAGTTGTGATTAATAATAAGAGTAGTAAATCAAAGTTAAATAGAAAAGCAACTGCTTATATTATTTATCGTAAAATATGTTAAATCATATTAATAATCATTACTAATAGACATAATAGGATATGCCATACTGTTTTCTTGTATATGATTAAGAAAAGTAACAAACTTTATACTTAAAGAAAAAAATGTGCGTGCTAGTTATATTATCATTTAAATAGGAAATGAAATTTTTTTAATGCATGAACATGCAACTTTCCTTGATCTAACTAATCAAATGTTTAGAAAAAAAAATGACATTTTTTCGTTCTCG